TGCACAAACAATGAATCATGGAACACAACATCTAAAACTAATGAGGTAATGTATGGGGAATAACATAAGAATAAAAAATAAATAAAAAAATATATATATTCATTATCTGCTTAAAATTTAAGTGTTCTAACATTTCTAACATTTTTTAAAAAATATTTTCTATTAGACTTATAATAAGCAAGATAACAATTTAAAAACTTACTGATAATGTACACTTAAAGTTCTGTCTTTACTAAGATATCTCCTCTGTGCCACCATTTAGTGGAAAATGCTAATAGACTCTTAAGAGATAAGTCCTGCTTCTGACTGTGTAAATGTGCTGAAATATTAGTGAGGATATGATTTTTCACACTCTGGCCTTTTGATGAAACGCCTTCCCAATACCAGTGTGTCATCTTATCCTACAATTTCACACATCAGCTGCCAGGGCATCTACCCGAGAGCCCAGTTTCACATTGCACTAATGAGTCAACACCTGTTAAGAGTGGAGAAATCTGAACCTTGTTAGCGATTGTGAAGCCTCCTGGGAGTTTGGATGCTGAGCATTGTCATACTCACCGCTGGCGTGTCTGTACTGAGGACCCTGGCAGCGGCCGTGATGAAGTCCCCCACCAGCATTGAGAAGCCAGGCAAACCCAGGGAGAAGAAGCGGGGTGGACAGTGCCTTACAATGGTGTTTAAGATATCCTAAAAGGGAAGATAAGAAAACACAACTGTAATTTTCAACAACAGAATTCCAAAGTCGTCAGCTCATTGGTACATATGGCCACTGTGTGATAATCTGAGAGAACACAGGTCACAGAAATTTTTCAGTAAAAGGGGTACTGGGAGATGAGTTGGTCCAAGGCCTACTGTACCCATTTTACAGGTAAGAGAACGGACACTAAGTTGTAAGATGACAAAATCTAAGTCATGGCATTGGGACTAGCCACTCCCTCTGTCTTCCACCTTAAGGTGAGCTCTTTGGACAAGCTACAGGAGTGTCGAGGTAGATATACAAATAAAACCTGCAAACAACTATCACTTCCAGAATTCTTCCATTTTCAAAAGTTAAAGCACACTATTACATTAAAAAGTCTTCAAGTAGGCAAAGACCTGGAAATTTTCACTCTTTGGATAACTCTCTGTGTTAAACAATGAGAATGAATGGAGTGTGGTCAGAGTCTAAGCTCAGGGAGTTGGCGTGGCTCTGGGTACAAGTGTGATCATGAGGTCAAAGTGCAAATACAGCAGTTGCCTTTTACACGGGGTGCAGCACGAAGACCACCAACTGCCCAGACACCTGGTGTTGCTGTGTCTGCAATGGCCTGTCCTTGGTGGGGGGCAGGCCGGCCCCTGGCCGCCAGCTCTGCTGTGAGGCAGCCACCACGTCCCAGCCTGGGGCAAAGCAGGGCTCCACTACTGGACAGAGTTTGTGCCACCCACGGCCAGGACACATCTCCGTAGCCATCTGTGCAAGTGTGTGTGTGTGGGGGGGATTAGTCAGAGCACCACAAACTTCTTCTATGCAGTTCTAGGCCATGCACATTAATCAAACATACTGAAGTACTAGACTTTATGTGTCTTGTAGTTATTCAACCTATAGTTAGTCCCAAAATACAAGAAGCAAAATACGAAAAAAAGTCTGGTTTCTTTTCTCAGATTTCAGTGCGGCTATTTAACTAACTGAGCCACCCAGGCATCCCCAGTGCGGCTATTTAAGAAGCCCTTTAAAATAATCCAGGATTTAATTTCATTAAGTTAGAGCAAAGTAGTAGCAACATGCTAAATTCTAACATAAGTCCTTCGTGACAAAAATAACCTCATTTCACAACTTGTAATCTTGAAAGAGAATTTTTATGTGTTCACAATACATTTTTTTTCCCAAGTAAAGACTTATTTTTTTCCTTACACAGTGGATTCATTTAGTTTCTACAAATTGTGCTGTTTATATCCTTAAAATGACTGTACAATGCTTACTCTTTTAGAGTTCAGATATGGTCAAGAGTTTAGCAAGTACTAATTTAAAGTTTTAGCATTTCAGCAGAATTTGTCCTATAACAAAAATAAATAGATAAGTAGACAGATAAAGGAAGGAAGGAAGGAAACAAAAACCTGACCCACACTTCTCCCAAGTTAATGTTTAACCCCGCTTTAATCACGTCCTTTGATACACTTTAGGGTCCATATCAGCCAAAGTAAACATTCTAAGGGGCTCAGCAGATGGATGCTGCAGTTTAGAAAGTGTGTAGTAAACTCATGCTCCAAGAGTGGAACAAAAGATCTACCTTTTTCATAATTAAGCCTCTGATTAATGCCCTGGGCTCCTCACCACACACCTGTAATTACTCACAGAGGTACGCATTGTGCTGGGCCTTGTCTCAGAATATCAGGCATCAAGCTACCCAGCAGCAGATGGGAGCACATTTCTGTTGACATATCCCGCAGTGAAAGGATTCGTGCAAACCTGGCCAGCAAGGTAGCAGAATGCCATGCATCTGAAGATTAATAATGCAAACACCCATGTTGTTAACTTTGTTATGTGTGTGCTAATTCCATCTGTTGAGATGAGGAACTAAGCTTTGAACCCTGTCGATTTTTTAAAATCTTTGGCATATTACTTAAATATAAGCCATTTTCACCACTGGAATTTAGAGTTTTGACTTTCAAAAAATGCTTTTCTGGGACAAGTTTGTGGGAATTGTGAACTGAATCCTTTAATAAGCTAGGGCCAGAATCTGTACATGAAATCCATTTTGCCTCACAAGATTCACATGTATAAAGGTAATGCCCTGTAAATGGGGCATTCACAAAAAATTACAAAGTTGCCACTGATGCTAAAGACAGCAGAAATGCGTGGAGCTGAGATAAACTCACCCAGCTCCCCACCCCCTGGATGCGGGCCAGTCACTTCAACGGAACCGGTTTCTATGGGCAAGAAGATTGGGAACAGAGGGCAAAATAACAGATGGCTAGCCTACCCTACCCTGCCACCCACATATGACAGAGCCCCGAGGAGAAGCGGGGCCTGGCTAGCTGTCGCCAGTTAAAGGCAGCACTGGGGTAGGGGTAATGTGGGAGTCAAAGGGGGAACTATATGGCCAGTCAGCCAAATTATGGCCATATGCCTGCTTGTTTTGCTCATCCACACTGAAATGGAACAACCCAAAGATTCTCTCTTTGTGATAACATGTGAAAATTAGGAATAACTGTGTGGTGCTCAAAAGAGAGCCACTGCATATTCCCAACAGAGGTATATCCACCAAGGGTTCCACTCATTGCTAGTAGAATCTTTCTTTCCCCTTCCCCTCCAGATGGTAAGATCACAGCTACCGCTGGAATCTCCAGAAAATAAAAATCTGGAGACTCTGAAACTTGCCGCACAGTCTCCAGGGCTTCACCTATAGACGGAACAGGACGGTGCTTCCCAAATGTTAATTATTCATGTAGGACCTCATGCCTTTTGCCATATCCATGTCCAAAGTGAACATTATTTGTCTGTTTTTGAAAGCAAGTCATTTTTTTAACTTAAATAAGATTATTCTGGAAAACCAGTATCCTATGTCACAAATAGAAAATAACCCTTCTGTCAAAACACTAACAGTAAACCAAGGCTACCGCATTTTTGTTAAATACCACTGCCTGACAGAGGCGCCCCTTGTTTTTATTTGTTTGTTTGTTTGTTTATTTGTCAGAGAGAGAAAAAGCACAAGCAGGCAGAGCTGCAGGCAGAGGGAGAAGCAGGCTCCCCGCTGAGCAGGGAGCCCGATGTGGGGCTCGATCCCAGCACCCTGGGATCATGACCTGAGCCGAAGGCAGACACCCAACCGACTGAGCCACCCAGGCATCCCGAGGGTCCCCTTGTTATGAATGGTGGCTGATCCTCAGGGTACTGTCAGAGTTCTGTACCCGCTCCAGCTGGCCTACCTGAGAGAGGTCTCGGGGACCGGTGGAGGTGAGGAGGGGCCATTGTTCTTACTGGGTGACTAGATGCTGTTTAGTGAAACCTCCATTGTGACCACTGGCGGGAAATGCCCCTGCACTCAAACCCTGGTGTGATGAAAAGAGCTCTGGGGCTGGGGCCTCGAGGCTTAGGTTCAAGGCCTAGTGTATGTGACTGTGGGCAGATCTTGCCATGCCTAGGGCTTCATGTTTCTCTTCCATTAAAAATGGATACAGAGTCGTATCTAATGGTATAGATGTGAACACATCCGTTTCTAAACTGAAAAGGGCCATGCAAAAATAAACAGAGTAACAAATAAAAAATTTTTTTTTCAAAAAGGGAAGGACTCTGAAGGATTTTACTTTCTAGAATTTACTTTGTAGATTTACTTTGCAGAATTCAGTGGACTATTATTTTGCTGATATTCAAAAAGAGCAAAAGATTTCAAAGGTGGCACAAATAAGCCTCTCAGATCACATTATCCCAGATATTAAAAAACTCTAGAAATTAATGCTCTCAGATAACATTCTTAGCAAAGCATTCTAGCAATTAGCTATAATGTATATAATTTCTAAGGCAAATAATAAAATAAAAACAGAAAATGGTATGTTTAGACTTTCTAGCTTTCATTCTTCTCAGTTCTAGAATTTACCTGAAACAAGTGAAACTGGTATCAAAAATCAGTTTCTTTTTCCATAATCTAAAGAGACTAAAATATAATAAGCCCAATGAAAAATGGACAGGAATCAAGTTTATTCTTGAAAATTGACCAGTATGAGGCACGGACAAAACTCTTTCACACGGTTTTGTTCAAAGGAAATAAAATTCATTCTGCAAAATGCTACCATATAGTAAACAGACCACCAAAGTAGTATTTTTCTCCTGTTTTTGGTTAAAAGTCCGCATGCATGCTACACATTGAGTGTGAAAGTGGATTGTACGATAATAATTGTGAATTTGCAGCTTATCAAAAGATTCCGGCTTATGAGAAAGTAACTGGTGAGAACATCTGTCTCTTATCACTGATCTCACAAAAAATCAGGTAATTCAAATAGAGGCGTGTTGTTTCCTCTCCTCCAAAGCACTGTTCTATAAACACAAACCACATTCAGCCTGGTAAATGAATCGCTTTAATTGAATGCTATGTACACAGTAACTGGAAAAACCATAAGTGATAAGAAAAACATATGGTGATGGCAACAGAAATTGGTTTATTCATTTTGCATAGTGTTGTTTCTTTAGTTCTCTTATAATTGACCTTTAGAACGATAAATGTGTAAAATAATTTTGTTTATTATGGCTCCAAACCTTCCAACAATTACACAAAATGAAAATTTAAAAGGAAGGATTCATTCTGGAAGCATTTCCATTGTTTACATAATTGTACAGCTATAATTTAGTGCTCGTGTTGTTATGGAAAATAAAAAAAGGGCCATTACAGGCCATTTCAATTCAAAATATTGCACAGTGGTGTCAAAAATGGGGGAAAATGTTCACTTTAAAGCAGTTTAAAATGGATTAACCCTGTAAACAAAAACATTTCAATATAGTATTCTATGAAACACAAATGTTCAAGAAGTAGCCATCGTTCAAAGGGAATTAGAAATGTTGCAACTGTACTTTCACACCAATTACATATATATTATTCACTTAATATTTGCTCACGGCCCAGCAGATGATGGTTGTAACACAATAGCCGACCATCTGTCTCCCTGCCTTTCCTTAGCGGACTCGCGCCTGCTCCTCAGGAGCAAACAGATCCGGT